AACACTAGTAGTTTCGAACTGCTGACTTTAAAATTAGTAGCCCTACTCATAACCACTATGCTACCAGAGTTCCTTAGGACTTAAATTTGTTTTTGTTGTTGTTGTTAAGTGCCGTTGAGTCAGCTCCGACTCATAGTGACCCTGTATAGGGTTTCCAAGGAGCAGCTGGTGAGTTTGAACTGCCACCTTGTGGTTCAAATCCACCTTTCAGTCCAGTGCTTTATCTCACAGCTGGGGAGTGGTTAACCCACTCAGTGGGGTCACTGTGACTTGATGTCTCCAAGGGAACTGATTTCAGACTTAAATTAAGTAAACTAGTTACATGTTAGTTTTCAGTCAAATTTATAACTCATTGAGATGCATATAACAAACTGGGTTCTTTTGTGTACTTTAGATCAGGGGTGGGGACCGTCTGGCCAAGGAAACCACTGTTGCAGCCATCACACTGTTGTTAAGCACAGTCAAGTCAGTTCCAACTCACACGACCCTGCATAGGGTCTCTGATGAGCAGGTGGTGAGTTTGAACCGCTGACATTGTGGTTCAAATCGATCTTGAGGTCCAGTGCTTTATACCACTTTATCGCCATACCAGGACTCCAGCTATCACATTGTTGTTATTAAGTGTGGTCAAGGCAGTTCTGACTCACAGCAACCCTGTATGGGGTTTCTGAGAAGCAGCTTCAAATCAAACTGACCTTGCAGTCTAGTGCATTATCTCGCTAATGGTGAGTCAATTAAATATTTGACCAAATATGTTGCCAAACCAAAATGAAGGTTTGTAGTCAATCCCAGAGACAGGGAGAGATCCAATCCAAGCTTTATTAACAGAAAGCCAGCAGTCTGGAGGACGGAGAGAATCATTTCTCAAGACCATCCTGTCCATTATGAAGAGCAGGTACATTACATTATAAAGGGTAAATAACATTTGGATGTACACTTAATTTATTTTAACATCAAGATAGCATTGAAAAAAAAAAAAAAAAAAGGAAACAATAAAGCAATAAACTTCTTCAAACATTGTACTTTTAGGAAAAAGGAAACAATCAGGCAATAATCCTTCTCAAACACTCCACTTTTTAGGATCCAAGCTGCTAAATTCCTGAGATAACTATCTGGGAGGGCTTAAGCACATCCTGTTCTCTTTCTAGGACCATGAGGTCATCTCAGATAATTTTTAAACTACCTCATTTTCAGAGTCTTCATTTATCAAAACTCTGGTAGCGTAGTGGTTACGAGTTGGACTGCTAACCTCAAGGTCAGCAGTTCAAAACTACCAGCTGTTCCATGGGAGAAAGATGAGGTGTTCTGCTCCCAGAAAGATTTACACCTCGGAAACCCTGTGCAGGGTCACTATGAGTCGGAACCAACTCTACGGCACATAACAACAACAACACAATGACTAAACCAAAGGAGCTCTGGTAGCATAGTGGTTACGAATCAGGCTGCGAATCTCATGGTCAGCAGTTGGCAACTATCAACTGTTCCGTGGGAGAAAGATGAGGCTTTCTGCTCCTGTAAAGATTTGCAGCCTCGGAATCACTGTACAGGGTCGCTATGAGTCAGAACTGACTCCACGGCACATAACAACAACAATGTCAGTAGATCCATGCTATCAAATACAGCAGATTAAAATTTTAAGCTGATAATTTTGTATGGCCCACTGATGATGATATAAATTTTGGCAGAAAAAAGTTTCCCCACCTCTGCTTTAGAAAAAGTGTGTATTATTGTTAAGTGCCATTGAGTTCTGAGACTCATAGTGACCCTGATAAGGTTTCCTGGGCGTGGATGGTAGGTTTGAACTGCTGACCTTTCAGTTCGCAGTCCAATGCCTATCCTACAAGGCCAAGCAAGGACTTATAAATGTTTAATAACTTGAAATATATTGTTGTGTCCAGCTGAATGGTTCCAACTCATAGCATTTTGTATAGGGTTTCTAGGGACTGGCTGTTAGGTTTGAAGTGTAGGTCTCAGTTAACAGTCCAGTGCTTATACTACTGAGCCACATCAGGACTACAAATATTAAAAAGCCCCCCCCCCCAATTATTTGTGTTTAAAAATTATTTCTAAAAGCCATATCTGCTGCTAAGTATAAAGAAATGCCATGCTGTTACTCTATTTATATTCTTATAATTTTACGTTGTTGTTGTTAAGTGCAGTCCAGTCAGTTTGGAGGAGCGGCTGGTGGTTTTGAACTGCTGACTTGTGGTAAGCAGTTAAGTGCTTATCCTAGGACCGCATAATTTTACTTATACAGTTTAAATGTTTATAAAAGATTTGCTTTATAAATGTATCTTAATGGCTCGTTTTATTTTTATCAGCTAATCATTGATAAGGCAATTTCAGTACTAAAGTCTCAGAAAGTTGAATATAAAGCTGTTATGTAACATAAAAAGCAATGCTAAGCACAAAATGAACAATAGAGATAATCGCCATCCTAAAGTCCATTTCCCCATTTAGGAGACAAAGACTTTTTTTTTTTTCCCAAGATGACTCAACAGATGCGTGCTCTTTTTTATCCTACTTGCCAATGGTTTGGGGACTGTTGGGTTCTGTGTCTGTAAACCGCTTAGCTTTTGGGTTTTGGGTGAAGGATCTGCAGCATTGAACACCGCCGGGCTAAGGGTGTGGCCGGCAGTTCCGAGACCTGTAGGTCGCCTCCCCCGCCCAGAGCTCCTCAAGGCGCCATTAGGCTGCGTCTCTCGCAGCCCTTGCCGCCATAAGGCAGTTGCCTCCGCCGTTTCACAAAGAAGGATGGGAACCCGCCCCTCGAGGTGATTGACGGACAGTCTCCTCCAATCTTGAACGCGCTGGGTCCCTGCAGGCTGAGCAAGGGCCGCGGCACGCGGAGGAATCTCTTTTGCCCTTTAGTCCCGGGCAAAGTGTTGCGGCAGGCGCCATTTTACTGAGCCGCCTGTTTCGGGTGCCGCCATGTTGGTGAGGAGAAATCACCGTTACGGCCACTGTCCAAATCCCCGCGTCGCTGCACGCCGCCCGCCCGCTCCCAAGCCTCAGCCACCGGCGGCGAATAGAGACTAAAGCGGCAGCGCCGGCAACGCGGGGCCGTTGCCCAGTGTTTGCAGTTAGAGCCCCATCTCTCTGGCGTGGTTGTTAATAGACTGGAAAGTCTGTGTCTGTGTCGCTCACTAGTAACCGTGAGTTTTTACCACTTCGTCACCTCTCGGCGGCGGCCGGGAGCAGGTGCCCGCAGGCGGCGCAGGGGTCCTCCCCGCGCCCCGCCGCCACCGCCGCCGCCGGCCTGGCAGATCTGCCCTCCAGCCCCGCCCCGTTCTTGACCAAACATGACAGACTCTGAACATGCAGGGCACGACAGGTCGGGAAGCCTTCTTGTCTGTCTTTTTGTCGGATGAGAGGAGGGGTCTGGGGCGGCGGGAGCGGGCCGGGGCCGGGCGCCTCCTGCATGACTTAGACGTCTCTGGGTGGCTCCAGCCCTTCCAGGACGTGCGCCCTGCCGTCAGGCCCCGGAGCGCGGCCGCCGCGGGGGAGGGCGGCCTTCCCGAGCCCGCCGAGTCGAGCCGAGCCGGGGTCCTTGCCCGTCGGCCCCGCCCCCGGCCGGGCACGTGCGAGCCCCCCGCCCTCGGGCCGGCGGGGCGGGCGTCCTGGCTCCAGGCTGCGGGCCAGCCCCGGGCTTAGGGGAGCCGGCTTGGCGTACGGGGGCCGCGCTCACTTCCCAGTGTGTCCAGCCCCCAACCTGGATTTACTGGTGGTGTGCTCGCGGACTACTGCGCTGTTCACTCCTAAAAATCAACCTGCCAGGGCGTCGTCGGGACAGATTGAAGCCACCCCCGAAGGCCGTGTGTTGGTTACACAGTCTGATCCCTGGGAATTCGAACTCGCAAGTTCAAAGTTACAAACGTGAACACACATTAAAAAAAAATGCTTAGGGTTGGTAAACCTTTGTGCAGTGGATATTTTCCTAAAGTAAAAACCATGAGATTTATTCATCTAGCGATATTTTCAGAATACTCACTTGAACATTTACGGCTTTGATTTTTTTTATAGTTTGCTATGCCTAAAGAGGCACGCCCTTGGTTCCGTGTCAGCTGTATCTTTAATTGACGTGAATAATCACCCTTAAGTTTTGTTACATTCCTATTTTATATTAATATCTAGCTTGATTTCATTAAAGTGAGAGCGCTTTCATACGTTGAAGGAATCGTGGGTGTCACAAAGGATTGGCGGTTTGAACCCATCCAGAGGCACCTTGGAAGAAAGGCCTGACATTCTGCTTCTGAAAGTTCACGTCCTTGAAAACCCTGTGGAGCAGTTCTATTCTGCATGCATGGGATTTGCCAGAAAGTGGGATGGACTGGATGAAAAGTGGCTTTGTTTTATATTCATTAAAATTATTGGAACAAAATTCCTTGTAACTTATTCTCACTTAAAGAATGCTAATTACAAGATTTAGAACCTCAAAACTACTTGTTTGTGAATAGAAGTAATCAAAAGCGTATGTTGTACACTAAATAGTGTACAAATTGCTAAAGTTTGTATTCTGGAGTGAAGTGATCAACTTCTGAAAAACTATTCCAAACTTTTTTTTTTTTTTTAATCTATAAGCGGCAGCGTCAATCAACAATTCAGTTTTAAATATTAAAGAATCTAGCAACCTTTTAAGATATAAAAATGAAATTTCAATAACTTCAGTACTGAAA